GTGTCAACAAGGGAGGCTGAGTTTGAGCAATTGTGTGCTGAGCGTATGAAGGCGCTCGAGGCACGCGAGGCAGGAGTTGCATTTCAGTGGGTTTCGCAGTGCAGTAAGTGCAGTAACGACTGCCGAGTTTGCTGCCGTAACTTGCCATGTTTTGTTGGCGCTGTTGGCCCGACTCAAGAGGCAGCTTTGGCCAATAGAAAGGTTTAGTGCAGTTTTTGTGTTTGTAATACAGGAATGACGTGTAGCATCGTCCATTTCATTATTTGCACACAATAAGTAAGCGATTCAGGCGGACAATGGGAAATCCGGCTGCTGTGTATCTCTTAACATTGCACTGTTCTGCACTGCTGCCAACATGATCATCCAATGAGAAATTTGTGGATCTTGTCAAGTCCTGCCACCTTGGTGGATTTGCACCATCTCTCTCTCTCTCTCTCTCTCTTTGTAATAACTGCAATCCAACCAAAAACAGCCAAGTTTACCAACCTGGGGTGTCATCCTTTTCCAGGGATGGAAGTGAACTCGTTAAGACTTCACATGAGAACGTGTGGCCCGCGGAGCAGTTCCCCGTCCAAGAAGAGAGACACCACAGGACATACCAATCGATTGCAAGTCTGAAGCAAGCACTCTGGCACGAGAGTCCAGGGTTTCGGCGGGAGAAGCCAGCTCAAAGCAACCAATAGCAAAGTTGAGCAAGCGAAAGCCGAGTGGTTGAAATCAAAAGTTAGACCGAAGACATCCAAGTCGTTTTGACAACTTTTAATACAAGATAAGACCAGCAAGTTCCACAAGATCCGAAACACCGTGCCTGCAGCACGACCTGCAGGCAAGTTTTCCAACAAAGCTTTCAACAAGTACCCTACATCAAGGAAAGCATAGTCTGTGGGTGTGAGTTACGAAAACGACTGTTCTCTGCAGGAAGAAAATATACTCTATTTGGTGTGATACATCACAGGTTTGGCAGGCTGAAATTTGAAGTGGACGGTAGACACCAAGGAATGTGTGCTGAAGAAGCCTTTCTTTGTCAAAAAAGAGGAACAATGCATGAAAAAAAGGCAAGAGACTGGGGAAAACCATATTACAACAGAGCAAGGGTGAATAGCACCCCTGTGAGAACACACAGATGAGAGCACGCATATGAGAGCGCACACACATGAGGCACACGTGTTGGAGCCAACGCATGAGAGGGCACATATGAGAGCACAGGTATGAGTGAGCGCCTTTGTGAAAGCACGCAAATGAAAACATGAAAGAACACGCCTGTGGAGATGTGTTGTTCTTTGGGATGTGCACCAGCCGCCAAATCGACTGCGCACCGCGTTGCAGCAGCTATCCGGCGCCAGCGCCAGCGCCGTAGGCCAAGTGCCACAGCTGAAAGGAACCAAGGTATTTCAAGACCTGTTATCCCAACCAAGTCGCTGGGACAACTCGGCACAGGAGGCCGAAGATGTCGAATCGGAGAGCTGCAATACCACGCCATGTGATGCCACCAAGCACCTCATTGCACCACGGGCACTGCTTGGTCCAAGCGGGGCTGACACTTGCACCAGTAGCCACAGTGCGACATCCAGGAGATTGACCAGCAACAGACCGGATTCTAGCCCAGTTCAGCTGTTGAAGCTGATCAAGAGTAGTATGCTGAAGATCTTGCACTTCATGCCGACCGGAGTAGATAAACTCGTTGAAGCACCATGACCGCCAAGCATCACGCACATAGTGAAGCACTTGCGCCAATGGGACATCAATATTTCGGAGATTCATCTGAATGGTATCCTTAGACCATCGCCTGTGAGAACGTTTGAGAGCGCGCATATGAGCACACAAGTGAGAGAGAGCGGAGATGAAAGCAAACTTGCTCCTAGTAGCGATGCCCTTTGCTCCTAGTAGCTTCTTGCTCCTAGTAGTAAGGCCAGGAGCCCCTAGTAGCGTCCATATGACAGGACATGCTTGCACTTCGTCTACAAAGCATCCCTGCCACAACCTCCACACGAACTGCTGCTTTTGCCACAAAATGTGCATGTCGAGGTTCACAAAGCGCCGCGCCTGCCAGGAAATCTGCACATCAAGATTGACATCACGCAGCCCTGCCAGTGCACAGATGCCGATGCATTTCGCAACAAATGCATTTCCAAAGACACATTCATGATGCAAAAAAAACTTTCACGTGACAATTGTGAAAACGAGCCACATGCCCAAAGTTCACGATTCACTGCACCTGCCATGCAAAAGACCATCACCAAGTCCAAAGTGCTGCGCCTGCCACGAATCTGCAACACATCGAAGTAAAAACGGTTCCGATCTGACATGAGGACCCCCTGTCGCGCCACAAAAAGTGACCGCCAAGTCCAAAAATGCGCACCCAGAAAGAGAGCGCAGTCGAGGAAAGCACCCGGGGCCCAGCAATTTGGCAAGCGAAGTCAAATCGGCATTTAGTGTGAAATCGCTTCGGGGCAGACCCCAAGTTCTCGGAGAGGAAGATTCCAAAAAAAGTGCAAGAGTGAGAAACTCACTGTGTGCTTTTTCCGTTCGCGAGGCTGCAGCCGCTCAGTTGGAAGCCATGCTTGAGCAACAAGGAGCTCAGAATCAGCAAGTGGAGGAGGGAATGAATGGCTTGGCAGAACGAGAGAGCAAAGTGTCAACAAGGGAGGCTGAGTTTGAGCAATTGTGTGCTGAGCGTATGAAGGCGCTCGAGGCACGCGAGGCCAGGACTGCTTCATTTGACAAAGTTTTTGGGAGGGTGGGGTGCGAACGGTGCGGCTGCTACGTCACAATGTGACGGAGACGCGTGACGCAACCAAAGATGCCACCGTAGTACATTTGCAGGACTCTCTGTGCCCGCACACACACACACTCCATTCTAGCCACCATTGCTGCATGCCAAGAAATACCATCAAAATGTGGAACGCAAAGGGTGCAACTGCAATGCATCATGGCAAAGCACGAGCCACAACCAAACAGAAAGCCCAAGTAACCCAACTGTTGGCGTCCTCATGCCATACGAGGCTTTCCCAACGTTGTTTGATCGTTTTCCACCTGCTAGGCTCAGCTCGCACGAGCCAGTCTTGGAGACGGTCTCACAGCGGAGCTGGCAGCCTTAGAGGGTCGAGAGAAGGAGTGCACCGAACGGGAGAAAGCCCTGGAGGTGCGGGAGGCCGCGACAGCCGCAGATGCCAAAGTGCACGGTTGTTTTTACCAAGAGTTTCCACATTTTGTTTAGACTGCGTTTTCTTTTTGTCCCTGTGTTGTGAATTCCCTTTCGGCGGGGAAGATCGGGCCATTCCGAATGAGCAATTGTAAGGTTAGATGAACAGAAGCAGCTGCTGGCCGAGCGCGAGCAAGCAGCTCTTGAACAAGAAGCTTTGTTGGAGAAGCGGGAGCAGGCCATAGAGGAGTCCGAGTCCAAGTTGGAACTGCAGAAAAAGGAGCTGGTGTGTGTGTGTGTGTGTGTTTGTGTCTTTCTTTCGTTGACGAAAACTGCGTTCCAGGTCTGATTTGAGCCCTACCTAAAAGCAATGGCCTCAAACCCAATAGCGACGGTCCCCAACCTAATAGCGATGGCCTCCAACCTAATAGCAATGGTCTTCAACATTCTCCAACCCAATAGCCCAAACTAATAGCGATGGCCTCCAACCCAATAGCAACGGTCTCCAACCTAACAGCGATGGCTTCCAACCCCAATAGCGATGGCCCTCCAACCTAAGAGGGATGGCCTCCAACCAAGCAATGGCCTTCAACTTAATCGCGGTGGCCTCCTTGAACCCTAGTTGTTCATTTGTGTTTTGTGGCCTTTGGTTTTGTTGCTGTTTGTTCTACACTGGACCTTCAGAACGTTTCTGGGCGGGAAAGGGATGACGGCGGACGCCTTATGGGTACCTCAGAAACGGAATGGGACAGGTTTCTCACTTTTCCTACGCCGTCCTACGCTCTCCATGCAAACGGCCGTCAAACGACAAGGGACCTTTTTCTTGCATCGGATTTGCACAAAGCAAGCGTCTGACAAAGAAGCCCCAGGACATTTAGTGATTCCTGCCAAAGTTTCATGTTCATGTTCGAAGGTGTCCGCTTTTGAGTTCCTGGCGTCCGTTCGCAGGAACTCCAACGACTTGAGGATGGTTTGCGCAAGCGAGAGACCCTCTGCGCAGAGCAAGAGAAAGAAGGAAGACGGGCCAGCGCTGCAGCTGCAGCAACTGCAAAGGAGGCCCGGCTCGGGGCACAAGCATCCCGTCAAGTGGAGCAAGTACAACAAAATTTGGCCACGGCGAGCACAAAGATGGCGGCCAGATCGATTTCAAACCTTGAGGCAGGAGTGACAGGAGGTGGAGTTGCTGGTGCGATTGCCGCTTTGTTGCAGGATGTGGAATTGGGAGAGCGTTCCGGAGTGTCTTTGGTGGATTTGGGTCTCAGTGACATCGCTGGATTGCCCGAAGCAGATAAGTTCATGCAGTTACTCTCAGCTTTGATGGCTGTTCGCGCAGATGCACGACTGATCGTCTTCGGACTTTGGCTTTTGTGCCATTTGATTTACGTCCTCTATCTCATCTATGCACATGCGTTTAGATGAGCGATCTCTTGGAACAGACTGCAAGTTTCTGCAGATCCAGCGCCATTTGAAGAAAAATAGATGTCGAGAGTCGTGTGAAAACGGGTCGAAATATGTCGAAACAGAGTGGCACAAGATAGGGCAAGTAACCACGGAGGCCGAACTTTTGCTGATGGTCATGATCCAGCTTGGACGGCCATTACTGGTGCCTTGGCCATGTCATTGTGAGGTGAAAAAGCTGCCACCTCTGGCCTCATCTCGAACGCCAGGCTTTCCATCCAACAATGACCAGGAAAATGCCTATGATGACTCGCCGCGGCATGCGACGACGAGCAATGGCAATCTTTGGTGGGTGCCCCAGGATGGAACGTTGAGACCCCATGCGGACCCGGCGCTTCCGTTGGGGCTGGGCAAACGACGGTTGGGCGGTCGGCACGGCACGGACTGCTCCGAGGCTACGGATTTCGAACCAGGCCAGCAGGCTTGAGCTAGTAAATACTAGCAGTGGAAAAAGAGAAATCAAGTGGAGATCTCAGCACAGTCGCAGGGCCGTTTCAATGTGTTCAGAACTGTTCAGATGTCAAGTTGGCGGTGTGATGAATACCGAACTTGTGAATCAAGCTAACCAGTGGACAATACTTGTGAAATTGTGAGTGTCTAAAAATTCAATTGGCCATAAGCTTGGCTTATGCTGAGGAAGCGGCCGTACACATCTGCAATGCTGCAGAGTTGGAATAAGTTTTGTCTCACTGGTGGAGTGGCACATGACTCAGCGACCTCCGCTTCAAAAGCAGGCGGTGCACAAGAATCAGGCAAATGATGAAAATGCCAATGTGGAATTTGGATAATGTAGACTGGGTGCCTTTTTAGGGTAGGCAGTTGCTACACCGCTTTTGCGGCTTTTGGATTCTGAAGGCATCGTGCCACGATGCTTGAAGCTGCTTGAACAGAGGTCGAGATGTCTGCAAAATTTCCCGGCAGATCCGCCAGGGCCAAAGCTTTTGCACTTGCTCCTGGTGGAAACGTTTGGCAAAGGATTATATGCCATTTAGAAGCTACTAGTAACTAGTGGCGAGGTGCCTTACATGACTTGTAGGTAGTAAGAAGCTACTGGTAACAAGTGCATGACTTGTAGGTAGCACTTGTTACTAGTAGCTTCTTGCCACCTGCAAGTCATGCACTTGTTACTAGTAGTTTCTTGCGAAAAACAAGTCATGCACTTGTTACTAGTACCTTCTTGCCACCTACAAGTCATGCACTTGTTACTAGTAGTTGCTTGCGAAAAACAAGCCATGCACTTGTTACTAGTAGCTTCTTGCGAACTACAAGTCATGCACTTGTTACTAGTAGCTGCTTGCTACCTACAAGTCATGCACTTGTTACTAGTAGCTTCTTGCGAACTACAAGT